TCTAGTCTGTTTGGAATTTTTCGATCGAAGTTCGACAGTGTCAAATCCAAGCAAATATCACCTATGTCAAAAATCTAGATACATTTCGTCTGCAATCGGACAATACACGACTAGTTGCCATTTAGATTACTAGTTGGAAAAGGGACTTTTAACTAGATGCGTCTGCAGGTGCATCTAGTAATAGTTAAATCGATCGATTATCGGGCGATAAACTGATAGTTGTAACTAGAAAAAATCTAGTAATCGCTCAATTACCAGATTTTCACTGTCGTTATACAGTAGTTGCAATCGAGTAAAAATCTAGTAATCTAGATGAATCGGGCGATACTAGATCTTGTTTTGACGCTTGGGAAGCTTCTCACCCGAAATTCGACAGTGTCGAAAAGTAGAACTGTCGAACGACGACAAATTCATAATATAGCCTTCTTAAAGGCTTAGTTTCACAATCATACATTGTTTCCTACCTTCCACTTAGTGTGGTCTGTTCTTGTTGTGATTGTTACAATGTGACCTGGGTCGTCATTAAACTATTTTCAGGTATTTTTACGATCATTAGACACTTCTTATCACTGGATACGTAGTGGCCATCAGTAGTGAAATACACAATGGATAGATACAACGGAATACACATTTAAATTATACGGTTATCAGACAGTAATACTGTTTTATTTGACACTTAACAAATTCATTCTTCGTACGAAAAAATAGATACTTCTTGACAGAATATGTCAAGTAATTTGCCAGGCAAATGTCCTTTGTGTCTTAAACCGGTTCTAATCAGAAGCTTTAAACGTCATTGTAACAGTTTTCATACCAGTATTGATACTGATCAAAAATTGCAAAAGCAAATATGCAAATTAAAAGAAAATATTATCAAAAATAATAACAATGAGAACATTTTACGGCAAACAGCAACAAATGATCTTCCAATTCAGCGATCAACATCAAATGAATTTTCACCACCACCATCAAAACGTGTACGAAGAGAATCAGCAAATGAAATAGAAAATATATCATCGATTTACGGTAATGAAAGTATTTTAAATACAGCTGACAACAAAAAAATATTAAACTGTTCAGAAAGTGGTACGATGAAAGATTTTGGATATGTTACGCATATTAATAAAATCGAATGAAGTGATATTAAAAATAAAATTTGTGGTGAACTTCAGTATATCATACAACAAACACAATTTACTTCCAGATTTCTCGATTTATCAGTTGATCCAAACATTAGTACAAAACATTTTGTAATTGAAACAAGTACATATTTAACAGCACTGAGAGAATCGATCACCGATTTATTAATTAAATGTGATCAGACGCTTGAACAAATACCATCGTCATTACTGACAACAACTGAAATGATAAAGTCATCAGAAATATCCATATCTCGTGATCCATCAACAAGAAAAATTCATAATGAAGTGGAGTTACGATATTTAGTTAATGAAGGACCATACCAACCAATATTAAAGCATTATCCGGACAATGAAGTATTAAAAAAAAATAATCAAACATGTCACTTTACTTCAAAATGGTATCAAGAATTTCCATTGATTGAATATAGTCCGACCAAGGATTCAATTTATTGCTTCTGTTGTCG